ACTGACCATCTCTGGTCCAACTGGAAGTGGATGAGGGTTTGTCTAGGCTTGGGATGGAGTTGTCACAGGTTGGGGGACCATGATCAGCCTGTCCTCACTTGTACCGGCACCCAGGAGAACAAAGTCCATGTCTTGAGGTGGCCCCAGGCCCGCTCTGTGACCTCATCTTTGCCTCCAGTCTCTCTAGGTCTCCTAAGGCACATCACAGGATGGGGGTGACTGGAGGGCCACTTTCCCCCAGCTCATGTTCATAAGTGACCACGAATGCCATGACATCTTTGCCAATGATGTTGTGTGTGTAAGGCCACACAGTGACACACTGACACCATCCCAGGAAAGGGCGCATTTTTCAGATCGGCAGCCAACAGGTCCTAAAGAAAGGAGTTAGTTCTTTGAAACTGGCACAACATGCTACTGCCTTACTCTGACTGTGTAAAGACGTCCTGTGTCTAGAAACACATGTCAAGATCATAAAACCAACAAACACACAGCTGACTCCTTTTTGGAATTTTCTGGAAATGTCTGGGCTTCTCTTGACCTCTGAAAGGTCCTGTCTCATGGAGAAGACATCAAGATAAGGTTGATGTCAGCAGCACAGACCTTTAGTGACATCTGCTCCCCATTGCTTGGTGATATTGCCCCTCTTCATAGATTCCCATTTCAAAGTCTCCCTGGCCTGTGTGATTAGGCTCTTTGGAATGATTTTTCTGGCTTCCAATCTTCCATTCTTGTGATAAAATCCGTTTTTTGCAAGACCTCAGGAAGGGACCTTACTTACAGAGGCCAGAGAACTTCACTTCTAAATCTGAAGTCAGCTATGGTTTGTAGAGCTCGGAGTCTGCTCCCTTCTCTGAGACATTCAAGGTCATTTTTTGTTTGGGCCATGGAAGGCACACATGTTAGGTTTTAGATTTTTTTCCTCTGTACAGCCACTGGGGACAGCTTGAGGCCCAGTCCAGAGACCTGTAAGAGGCTACCACAGAATGACTAGAGAGGTCCCTTCCTGTGCTGTGTGTTCCCTCTGTTGGTGAGCTTTGATGGCCCTTCCCAGCCAGCTCTACCAGTGTGCCTTCCTGACAGGTCACTGTGTCTTATCTAAGGTTCCAAGGTGACAGAGTCGATCCATTCTCCAGTCTTAGTTACCTCCTATTGCTGTGATAAAAATACCCCAATAACAGCAGCTCAAGGAGAAAGAGCGGGCAGTTCCAGATGCAGCCCAGTGAGGCTTCATCTCCTGTCAGTTCCACAACCTCCCCAAACATCTGCATCAGCTGGAGACCAGGTGCTCAGACATGGGAGCTTGTGGGGGGTGGGGGATTGCACATTTGGGCCACCATGCAGGTGGCCTGGCCAGCTTGTCTAAGTTTGTCCTAACCTGAGCCAGAGACCCCAGGGCATAAGAGCCACATAAGCCTTTGAGTGTACTAAGCTTTAGCAAAAACCTCAGAGTAACGAGCTGGTGGCTGCATCCCATGGGAGTCTCAGAGCTCACCCAGGCCCCTTTTTTTCTCAGCTGCATACCTGAGGAGCATGGGGACAAGTGGGCATCTGGAGAGAAGTGTGCTTGGTTACTTCTCTCCCCAGATGCAGCTTGGAGAACTGATGCTATGCTGTGATCCTATTTACCCACCGGACCCCCACCCCAGGAGGGCAATGGTCCTCATCGTTCAACTCCATTTTAATTTCTTGGCATGTGCTAATGGTTACTGCCCACTTGTTAAGAGACCAGGCTGGGCAGACAGGAACAGGCACACACGTCGGTACCCATGAGTTCCCACATCCAGAGAGGTGGCTAGTGTTTGCCGCCATGGGGACGGATGATCTGGTTCATGATGCTTCAGGCTCAGCTGGTGGGGAGGCAGCTGCGGGCAGAACCCAGCCAATGGGAACTTGGATCAGAGGAGACAGAAGAAAGATAGAAGGAGGGAGGAAAGATGGCTGTAGATCAGCAGTGCCCTCGGGAGCCCAACACAGGTTCAGCACACATCACTCAGGGTCAAAAGGATGGTGCCATGGGAGTCTTCTGGACGGATGGCCTTCAGGGGTTGAAAGACACCAGCTCAAAGCAAGAATAAATTGCACTCATCAGAAGCCAAAGCCCCTAAGGATATGCAGGTGTTCTGGCAACTGGAACGTGTATTTTCAGAACACTGGGTTGACCGAGCAACCTGGGAATTGAAGAATTAAGGAACTTGGAGGTGTCAGACTTAAGTCATTGGACTGAGTCCCTCACCGCCTATATGTCTTGAAGAGAATGCTCAATCCATGAAGTTTAAGAATTGAAATGTAAACTATCTAAAAATCCATGCTGTAAAAGGTTCTCCTGTCTCCAGCAGTAGGGGATGCTCTCCCCAGGCTCCTACTTGGGTGCAGCCTTCTGACGGAAAAAAAAAAAAATTATGAAGTCAGTATGAAGCAAAATTGGAGTAGGTAAAGGAAAGTTCTGGACTTGTTAAGACAATACAGGCTTTAATTTAAGTGTGGGCATGGAAAGAGACAGAACATCTGAGGAAATAAGGACTTCTCAAGGGACTGGAGTCACTGGGACTCTGGATAGCCCCATGTATGAGCAAACTGAATGGGAGATTGTGAGTTAAATTGGGGTGGGAGATTCGATGTGTGGATTTTTCCAGAACAGGGGTCACTTTTTTGTCCTTTATGGGGTTTTCCAGATGTGTTATGGCATCAGATGAATAATGGGGAAGGCAATCTCGCAAGCCCAGTGGTGGCAAGCTGCCATTATCGTGACGTCAAGGACAGTCAGTGGCCATGTTGGTCAGGTCTTTGTGTTGGCCCCAGCTGGGTTTGGGTGGTTTCGTTCTTCACTGGTGGAGTGATACATGACGTTTCATGATGGGACAGCTCTGTGTTTTCGTTTTTTTTTTTTAAGCAACACGTAGTTGGACCTTTCCCCACCATGCCTATGCAGCCTGTCTCATTCCCCTCATCTTTGGTCTTAGAGTTTAAAGACATTGCCTTTTGTAGCTTACTCTGAGGTACTGACAAGTTCCTCCACTTCCCCGAGCCTCAGCTTTCTCTTTTGTGGAAGGGAAGGGGGGAGGTGACTTAGACCTGGTGATTTCCAATGCCTCAGGGTTGAGCTTGCTATAATTTTTAAATTTTTTTTTACTTGTGTAATATGCATTTATGGGGTTGTGCACGTGAGTGCAGGTACCCACAGAGTCCAGAGGAGGGAGCTAGAGTTATCGGTGGTTGTAAGCCTCTTTTTTATTTTTTAAAGATTTATCTATTATGTATTCAGTGTTCTATCTGCATGTGTCCTTCCAGGCCAGAAGAGGGCACCAGATCTCATTATGGATGGTTGTGAGCCACCGTGTGGTTGCTGGGAATTGAATTCGGGACCTCTGGAAGAGCAACCAGTGCTCTTAACCGCTGAGCCACTTCTCCAGCCCTGGTTGTAAGCCTCTTGATCAAGTGCTGGAATCAAACTCCGGTCCTCTACCAGAGCAGTGCATGTTCTTAGCTCTTGAGCCATCCCTCCAGCCCCACGTTTACTCTTGTTAGTCACTCCAATCCATTCCAGAGCCCTCAAGAGAAAAGTAACCGATGGGTACATCAACAGTGAGGGATTTGATGTTGGGCTTAGCACCGTGATTTCAGTCTGCAAGGAAGCCCTGAAGGCTGCAAACTCCAGTTGAAGTTAGTGTGGACTCTTCACAGCCCTGAAGTTCCCCCTAGTGGGCTTATCTAACTTTTTTGCTGGTCAACATGACACTATCATCTACAAAGTTCACAAGCGAGAAACAGGCAATCAAGTTTAAAAAATAACTTAAAAACTATAAGATTTTGGGCTGGAAAAATGACTCAGAGGTTTAGAGCACTGACTGCTCTTCCAGAGGTCCTGAGTTCAATTCCCAGCAACCACATGGTGGCTCACAACCATCTGTAATGAGATCTGGTGCCCTCTTCTGGCCTGCAGGCATACATGTAGACAGAACACTGTATACATAATAAATAAATCTTTAAAAAAAAACTATAGTATTTTAAGTTAGCTTTTACATTAAAATACTTGTTATTGTTGATACTAATAGTATCATGTCACCGTGGCTTCATCTGCACTTTCCTAAAACAATGGCATTGAACATCTTTTTTCCGTGTTCGGTGGCCTTTGTGTAGCTATAGAGAAATGTCTATCCAAGTCCTTTGTCCCTTTGTGATCTGGCAGTTCTGTTGGTAAGTACACTCTGCATTTTAACTCTTTATGAGATAAAGAATTGCAATATGAATTTCTCAAAGGCAGAAAAATATCTTCAGAGTCTTTAATTTATACAAAGTAGCTGGAGCATCTTGGTTCTCCAAGGAACACTCCAGAAAGGCCACAAAGCAAACTGAAATCACATTTGTGAAGAGGAAGGTGAGTACAATACCCGGGGAAAACCAGGGACACGGTGAAAGCCTGGCTCCTAAGACCAGTCTCCGAGGTGATGGGAGAGAAACAAACAGATGAGTGAGTTCCACTCTGAACACCTCCTGAAAGAGACACTGTGAGTGTCAGGGACATGACACTCAGGCCAGGTGGGTCCATCTGGAAGATGGCTTCTCCAGGACCAGACAGTCTCTGGGCATCCGAAAGAACTTTTGAAGAGAGAAAGCAGAGCGTGCTTCATGCCACCTCTGTGCTGAAACACTTGCCAAGGGATCCCTTCTGTAGTGGGCTGCAGAACCACAGGCCTCAGGACCTCACTACAACTGGCAGACAGGTAGATCCTAGGAACCACCAAATCCCCAGTCTGGATGATTGGAATGTGTGTGGGACTCATGGGAATGCAAACAGGGATTTAAGTGAGAGTCTACCTCTTGCCTGGGGTGCTGTGAAGATGGTGGAGAAAGGAGCAGAGAGGCCCCCCCGCCCCCAGAGCCCCGCCCTTCTGTGTGGTCAGGAGTGGAGGCTGACTCCCACTGTGCCTGTGGGCCACTGCTCCATCCCCCAAAGGTCACAGAAATCTGAGAGGTGGGGGAGGCTAGCTGCCACCTCTGCTCTAGTAGAACACCTTCTCCAGGTACGGATTCAAGAACATCCCAGTGGGGTCCAGCTTCTCACGGATGTCACAGAACTTTCGAAAGGCAGGGTACATTTTCTCAAAGTCCTTCCTGGTGCAATTGTGGGCCTGTGGAAGCAACCAGAGGCAGCAGGCTTTGTCTTTACAGAGCTGGCAGGCCAGGCTACAGGCCAGCACCCAGAGTCTCTGAGCCTGTGTTATGACACTGCTCCCCCACCTTCTACACACAGTACAGACTCCCAGACAGAAAGAAAGTAAAGCTGAAGCAGCTTAGAATTCATCACTGGTATCCTCATCCCATAATACTATGGAGGGCCTGGCTCTGGTCCCACCACTACACAGGCCTTCACTTTCCTATCTGTTACGTGGACACACAGATGCCTGCCTCATCCTGCTCACAAGCTCCATAGGAAAATGATAAAGTGAAGGAAATTGCTATGAAGACCCCAAGGGCCCAGCAACCTCTGGACTTTGGGAGCTGGAGTGCAGGAGAGGCGTCTGGTGCCCTTTCACTAGCTGGTTGGGTTATTTAGAATAACAGAGGAGGGGCGCCCTCTGGTGGAAGCAAAGCGTAGAGCAGCAGGCCTGTAGCTATGTATGGGTGCAGGGCAAAGTTACCTTTGCCCAGTGGGGTCTGCCTCCAAACTTCTTCATGATGGTCTCGTAAGCCAGCCAGTAGTCTAGCCGAGGCACATCCTTGCCATAGGGCCTAGGGCAGAGGGGAAGAAGTTGGTTAGCCAGCCTGCCCTGTCCTATGAAGGGCCTCCACTGCCTCAGGTGCATTCTCTGTGGCCTGCCCTAATTGGCAGGTGACTAGAGATCAGGCTGGCTCTCCCCGCAGGACAGCACAGTCAGGACAGGCACCTGAGGCCTTCTGCTCATAGCACATCCAAGGGATCTCCAAGACTTTGTCCCCTTGTGTATTCATCAGTTGATACCTAGACATTACTGTGAGTTTAGTATTGACCAAAGACCCTAAGGTAACGGAGCTGAAAAGTTTCTCTTGTTCTGGTCATTGCTTTACATGGGTTAGCTACCAGAGTATAAAACAGACACAATGTATTGCACAGGCAGACAGCCTAGAAACAGCAGAGGTATGCAGAAGGGCATGCCATCTAGGTTTGCACAGGGTGACATTCACTGCGACAAAATTGCTCATGGTGTGTTTGTCAGAATATGTCCCCTTTGAAAGCAACTCCTGACTGTCACACAATACACACACACACACACACACACACACACACACACACACATTGTTCATTCCTACAGTATCCACACAATATACAAATACACATTCCCTGGATGACCTTATTCATGTCTGGAAAGCATGGCCATGTAACCTAATGAATGTCTTCAGTTGGTTCTCCTGCCCAGCTACTCAACCCCAAAGTGACTGACCCCTGAAGCCGACTTCAGTGCTAACATTTCCAACAAACACATTCAGATGCATCCCACGGCAACTCTCACTTATGCATCTGAATTCAAGGAGCAAGAGAAGGAGACCCACAGATAGCTGACATGAACTTCACCGTAGCCACGTCCTCTACCAACTAGACTACTGTTCCTTCAGTGTGTCTTTCAGAAACTCTTTCGTGGCTCTTTGGGGCCCCCTAAGAACTGTGAGTTCAGCTGTCCCTGGCTTTGCAACAATTTGGGACCTTACACATGGTGGAGGAACACCCTAGAAAGATCAGGGTGGTCACTGGTTTGCAAAGCCAGAGAAGGCCTGTGACACGTGGATGCATGAAGTGGGATGGGAAGTGGGGTGGGTGGCAGGCGAGGGATATATCCTAGCAAGGAACCAGAAAAGACAAACTCCTTCAGGTGCCTCATGCTGGCTGAAGAGAGAAAAAGGTCAGCCACGGGCTTGGGTTCAGTCCCTGGGATCGACAGATACATCCTAACATCAGGTTAACATCTCTTTCACTGAACTTAAACCAGCTTCAGAACTGGTCTGCGTGGCTTCCAGGCCAGCAGAAATCTTACTGGCTTGGGCACCTGAGCTGGGATATATTGCTCATTCCCTTCCATAGTCCTCATAAATGGTAAATATTCCTCATGGATATTAGCTCACTATTAATGCTAGAATATAGTGATGGATCACAGACTATAAGTGGTACATGTCACAAGAGTCTACAGGGAGAGAATAATAGAATTCCAAAGGGGTGAGATGCCATTTCCAGCTGCTGAGATCAGTGTGATCTCCCAGTAGAGAAGATGGCCTCAGAAACCGGCACGAGGAGATGGAGGAAGGAGAGGAATCCCTTTATATATGAGGGGATAGCTCCTTCCACCCCACACCCTGCAGTGAGCTGTCACCTGTACATGATGATGTTCATGTAGCAGCTGTCCCTCTGGAAGCAGGGGCTCAGCAGGATATCGTCACCTCGGGTGAATCGCACCTCCACAGGGAAGTGGGCTACCACATGGGGGTGGGCCTCCAGCATGGCCTTCAGCTCCAGCAGGGCCTCCTTGGTCTTCTCCCTGCCCTCAGCCCGGGAGAGACCTCAGAGTTAGAAGGGACTACCCCAATCCTCCTCCATGGCTCTCTCTATATGGGGCTCCCAGGGACCTCAGCCCAGGATGCTCACGGCCATAGGGACTCCCAGCTCTAGAGAGGCCCATCGTTCATGGTGGGCCTGGAGGAGTGCACTACCTGGGGATGGCCCAGTCTTGGACGTGCTGCTTGAAGCGACATTCATAGGTGAAGATCTTGTGGCTAAGGTTGCTGCTTTCCTTCTTGCCGTTGAACAGCAGCCAGAAGAAGAAGCGGTTGATCCAGCCCACGAGGCATGGCAGGAAGGTGCTGCAGGGGCAGGGCAGAGGGGTTGGGGGGCAGCAATTACTGCGTGTCAGCTGCGGGCTGAGTTCTTTTCACACTGGGCCCTCACTCCTCACTCCTACTCTCCCAGGCTGGGGCCAGTATGGCATTGGTCTGGGTAGGGACAGTGGCCACTTTGCCTCACCTTTCTCCTGCCACCAGCCCTTAAAGACTGTGTGCAGTGTCTTGTCACATCTTGCCACTCAATAACAAATGTCCATGGCTCAAAGCCTTGTGGGTTAGCTAGGGCAAGGCTGAGTGGAGTTTTAACTTCAGCAGTTACCCGCCAGGTTTAGCTCCCTAAAGAGTGTGCCATTCACTCTCCTTCTAGACCCTGGGAGCCTTGATTCAATGGTGCCAAGCATAAGCAGCCAAAAGAGGAAGTGTCCTGGGAGAGGGTCTTGGGTTAGACTCTTGTCCTTAGACACAATGCTGGGGGTTCCCTGGGGAACTGTAGAAAGAGAGCTCAGTGCTTCTTGGGCCAAGACACAACTGGCTCCTAGCTTTGGGCTCTAGAAAGTTCACCATGCCATTGTTTTCAACACACACACACACACACACACACACACACACACACACACACACACACACACAGCTTTGCTCTTTGGCTGGCGGTGCTTAGATCATGAGTTGGGTGCTACCTTTATCAGCGGGTTGACATACCATCAGTGATTTCACAGTTGTGTGGACTATCAGGAGATGGGGCTTGGTTGCAGGAATTAGGTTACTAGGAATGTGCCTCTGAATGTGTACACCTACCCTCAGACCTCTCCTTTCTCTGCTCCCTGCCTGCTGTGAGGTGGTCAGTTTTTTGCCACCATGCCCTCACCATCATGAGTCTCTGCCTCAGCCCCACAGCAATGGCATCAATGACCATGGACTGGAACCTCTGAACTCATGAGCTAAAGTAAATGTCCCTTCCTTTAGGATATCTTTCTCAGGTGCTTTGTCACAGCAACAAAATCTGACTAACATTTAGAACCATCCACCCACCCACCAAACCACCCATCTACCACTCTTATCTCTACTCCCACTGACTTGTTACAGGCACTGCTCGTGTGGACTCATCCCCTCCTCCCATCCCATATCCCCCTCTCCTTTCCCAGTCCACTAACTCATGGCCCCCAGGGTGCCTTATTCTCCTTCAAATCCTTATAATGACTTTTGTTGCCCTTAGAATGAACCCCGAGCTCTCCAGGTGATTCCACTATGAGGCCAGGGCTGAAACCATGGCCTTACACCCAGGAGGCAGACCCAGTTTGCAGATGTAGTGGCAGAGGCATCCTCCACAGCATACAGAAGATGAGACAGAGGTCCCAAGGCTTTCCTACCTGGTCCAGAGCAAGAACTCCAATAGGTAGAACCCGATGGCATAGTCCCAAAACCAGTTAGATGTAGAGGAGGGGGCCTGGGAGGGATAAGGGATCATGAGTTAGGCACCAGGGGCTCAACTTCTTTCTGACTTGTTTATTATGATGATGTCCCATTAGAAGACTGTTGTGGAATATGATTTTAAGATGTGCTACATTCGTTTATGCTGTGGAAGATGTAAAGATGTGTTGCATTCTTTTATGTTACATTTGTTTAATTCTGTGAAGCTGTGTTACTGTGCCTGTCTAAAACACCTGATGGGTTTAATAAAGAGCTGAACAGCCAATAGGTAGGCAGGAGAAAGGATAGGCTGGGCTGGCAATCAGAGAGAATAAATAGGAGAAATTTGGGAAGAAAAGAGAGAGGAACAAGAAAAAGGAGAGAAGACACCAGGAGTCAGCCACAGAGTAAGAGTGAAAGTAAGATATACAGAAGTAGAAAAAGAAAAAAGCCCAGAGGCAAAAGGTAGATGGGAAAATTTAAATTAAGAAAAGCTGGCTAGAAACAAGCCAAGCTAAGGCCAGGCATTCATAAGAAAGAATAATCCTCCATGTGATTTATTTGGGAACTGGGTGGTGGGTCCCCCAAGAGAGCAAAAACAGCCAACTGCAGAAGACATGTCCTAGGAGGACTTTATGTTAGAGGAGGAGGGAGGAGAACGGATGACCCACCTGCTAGGACAATCGGGAGCCTTACTTTCCATGACAGAGCTAATCTCCACCACGTGGATCCCAGGAATTGAACTTAGGTCATCAGGCTTGGCAGCAGATGTCTTTTCCAGGAGAGCTACCTAGGCCTGCATTTTTTTTTCATATATACCATCTGTCCCTCCTCTTGAGATCCTATGATCCAGGGGTTCATCAGCCACCCTTTACAAACCCTACATTATCTCTTAACACAGAGTAGGATTTGGGATACTACTGACATTCATTTTTAAATTATGGCTTTTTAAATGTTCATTTTGTGTGTGTTTATATATGTGCCTATGCATATGTGGAGGCCCGAGGTCAATATTGAGTTTCTCCATCTTTTTGTTTATTTTTTTTGTTTTTTTGTTTTTCGGGACAGGGTTTCTCTGTGTAGCTTTGGAGCCTGTCCTGGAACTCACTCTGTAGTCCAGGCTGGCCTTGAACTCACAGAGATCCACCTGTCTCTGCCTCCCCAGTGCTGGGATTAAAGGCGTGCGCCGCCGCCGCCGCCGCCGCTGCCGCCGCCATCACCCAGCTAGTCTCTCCATCTTAACTTTTTGAGACAGTCTCACACTGAACCTGGAGCTTGCCAAGTAGCTAGACTGACCACTGAGTCCCAAGATTCCTCCTGTCTCTACTTCCCCAAAGCCAGGATAAAGGTGTGTGCTACCACCCCCAGTCTCTTTATAGTTTTATTTTTTTCTGGATGCTGGGGATCAAGCATAAGTCCTCATGCTTGCATGGCAAACACTTTATCAACTGAGCCAACACCTCAGCTGGTAAGTGATGGCTTTGTTTGTTGTGGGATAGAATATTACTTTAACTATATAAAGATATGTTGCATTTGTTGATGCTGCATTTGTTTAATGATGTAAAGATGTGTTACTGTTTCACCTTGCCTGCCTAAGGCACCTGATTGGTCTAATAAAAAGCTGAACAGCCAATAGCTAGGCAGCGGAGGGATAGGTAAGGCTGGTGGGCAGAGAGAATAAGTAGGAGACGGAAGCTAGGCTGGAGTGGAGAAGGACAGAACAAGAGAGAAAGAGAGGGAGATGCCTGGGGCTAGTCAGCCAGGCAGCCACAAGCCAGCCAGTCAGACACGGAGTAGGACATACAGAATAAAAGAAAGGTAAAAAGCTGAGGCAAAATGTAGATGAAGAGAAACAGGTTCACTTAAGTTAGAAGAGCTAGTGGGACAAGCCTAAGATAAGGCTGAGCATTTGTAATTAATTATAAGTCTCCGAGTCATGATTTGGGAGCTGGTTGGTGGCCCAGGAGAAAGCCTGCTGTATTTGTTTCCATCTGCTGAGAAGCCCCTTATTTGCAAGGCTGTGAGGACAGGAGACAAAAGTTTGTCTCTTCAACTAAAGTGGAGGTGTTACAGGAGGCGTGCATGAAGAATTCTGTGGTCCAGCCCAGCTGTCTGACACCCAAGTCCATCCTGCCTGCTCCTACATACACTTCTCTTCTCTGTGTCTCTCCCCCACATCTAGGTTTTTCCCTTTGACACACTGGACCCCAACTTAGCCACCTTCCTTCCCACCTTCACCTCTGTCTCTTCCTCTCTTCATGTTCAACGACAACCCCATTCCCCTGGCCATCAGGACAACAAATGCCAGCTACCCTGGGATGGGGAGGGTGTGCAGGCCGTGGGTGTGATGAGGATTGAGAGTGCGTATGCTAGTGACCAGCAGCCCCCTGCTCCGGGATGCCGGGCAAGATTGGGCCCACACTGCAGCTACCTTGTTGGTGTGGTCTTGGTAGATGATGCTGACGTTGTCACTGTGAGGAAACCAGAGGAAGCGGAAGTATTCTGACTTCTTCAGGTGGCTGTCCAGGTTGTCCAGAACCTGGCACAAGAGGGAGATAAGATGGGTGATCTTGACTGTCAACTTGATTTGATTGTGAAATACCTAGACTAGTTAAGCCCACCTGGGTAGGTCTGTGGGAGTGTCTCCAGAGATGATTAGATCACTGACCAAATCAACAAGCTAGGCTCTTTTCCTTTTTTTAGTTTTTTGAGACAAGGTTTCTCTGTGTTAACAGTCCTGGCTATCCTATAATTCCCCTGGTAGACCAGGCTAGCCTCAAACTCAGAGATCTGTCTGCCTCTGCCTCAGTGCTTGGATTAAAAGTGTGAGCTGCCACCACCACCACGACCTGACCAAGCCAAGCTCTTGATGGACTCGTAATGTGAAGGCATTACGGGGAGGCAATGGGTCAGAGGTAGGGCATAACTCTGGTCCCTCCCTGTACCTGCTTCCTCTGCTTCCTGCTGTCTATGTGCTCTCCAGGCCATGATGGCAGAATGCCCTGAGACTGTGAGCTCAAAGAAACCCATCCCCCTTTAAGACGTGTCTGTCACACATTGGTGACCATCATGTAAGAGAAACCAGTCCAGGAAGAGACTGTTAGTCACAGGAAGAAGTCAGTAAACCCCAGTCAAGGCCTAGGTGTGTTTTGGTTTACTTCAAATAGAAGGAAATACTGAAGTTATCTTAATATTACCAAATACCTTGGTATAGATCTTAAAATATGCTGGGTGTTAAAATCACTCTCACACATATTGACTTCCCCAAGAAGCTTAGAGGAGATGTGACATTTTACCTTAGCTTAAGGAATTATTAGTGGCTTGTATAAACTGGGACCAATGTGAGTAATGAATGGGGATTGTTATGAGGATCAAATGGGATAATATGGCCAGAAAGTCCTTAATATGGTACCGCACACAAGGGAGTCACTACATAGGCTTTGAGTCCTGCATCCAGTACTACAGCTTTAATGCTGATTGCCATCACCGTCATCATCACCATCTTCTCTAACATCATTACCATCATCTTCTCTAACTTCATCACCGTCATCATCACCATAAATATCTTCATCTGTCTTCAACTTCATTTACCACCACTGTCATCATCACCATCATCCTAGCCATCCCCATTACCATCTCCATCATCTTTGTCTTCATCACTACCATCCCTCATGTTCATCACCATGATTTTCATCATCTCTTGTCTCTGACACACGGTAGATCCTAACATCACTCATTACTGCCTGCTTGGAGATAGTATCACAGCACAAATAATGTCTCCATGGAACCCACCAGGCAGGTGCAGCACAAATGTAGAACCCAGAGTATAGATAGGTTTTGGAGTTGACAAGCAGCTGTGGGTTGAGGAAGAGTCCTGGTATTAGAACAGGTTGTCTGGATTGAACTCTAGGACCCCAGTAGCGAATGTAACAGCACCATTTTCTGGGCTTTGGATCTTGAGAGGCTTGTTCAACATATCTACTTATCTTTCCTCCTAGGGTGGCTCTAGGATTCACAGGCAACAGTGCCCTTTATGACACTGAGTGGTTGCTAAATGGAACCATGCGTGGTCCCACCCATTATGAAGAGAGCCCTTTCCCATCTGGGTTCACAAGCTTTGTTCATATGAGCATGCACGTATATATTTGTGCTTCCGTGTGATCATGCATGTTGTGAGAGTACATTACACAAGCAAGTGTGCATGTGTGTTTCTGTGTGTTCAGGAGTGTGCATATGCACATGTGTGGACTTATGTGCATGTTGGGGAGGCAGCCTAAGAAGAAGCCCTAATAGACCCAAGGTTTGTCCGTAATTGATTTTAATGCTGCTGAACTAGGGCAAAGGAGACAGGACAAGCAAGTGTCATGAGACAGTCCATTCACCTAGCTCTGGCACTCTAATGGAAATGTGTATGTGTGTGTGTGTGTGTGTGTGTGTGTGTGTGTGTGTGTGTGTGTAATGCCCATCCTTTGGAAGGAAAAATCAGACCCTTTCTGTTGGTCAAAAGCTCCAGATTAAGCATCAGTACATTCCAGTTTGACTTAGAGCAGGACAAAAGATTCAACAACGCAGCATGCAAGATTACAACTTCTTTCTGATGGAACATGGTCCTAGCTGCCCATCCCTTCCTGGCCTATGATGGTCCTTCTCTCCTTAGCCTGTAAGACCCCCTCTGCAGCTGTTCTCATGGAGGTCAGCAGTGGCCTCCTGGGATTGCTCTGACCTGGATATTGATCTGATTCCCTGCAGCACTCAGGACCAGCCATTGCCTGTTGCTTTGGGAACCCATCCCTCTCCTCACCATCTTCACTGCTGTCTGTCTAAACCCCCTGTGCTCTCATCAGTTGAATGCCCTGTCTTCAAAGGCCCCTTTCTTTCCCAAAAGCCCACTTTTAGGGGGTGATGGACCCTATCATTGATCAGTGTCCTAGGGGGTTGAAGCTCTCTGCCACTGGCTGAACTGTGTCTACTAGATTACTGCACCGAATCCCTAACCTCTGCTCCCAGAATGTGACCATGTTTAGAGATTGGGCCAGAGCTCAGCCTGTGGTGCCTTCCATGGTAAGGGAGTCCTGGCGTGTCCTCCATAGCACAAGTGGGAGTCAATGCCCTTAAGAAGGGCCCATCCTCACTTTTTCCTGGGGCGGCTCTCTACCTCAACCCCTTCCACATCCACATGTCAGTAACCCCTGAGGTTCTTCTGCATTTTAAAGCCCACCAGGGTTCTGAGCACAGTCTCTCTTGGGCCAAGAAAAAAGGGGTAGTAAAGTGAGACCCCCCTCCTTCAAGCCACCAAAAGTCCACGGGAACTATCCGAGGGCCAGGACACCTTGGCAGGACGTCCATTTGTTTTCTGAGGCTGGGCAGTGGAGAGCAAAAGACTAGTACCTCCTTGAGGGTCGACGGAAAGGACGTCTCCTGCAGGTGGAACTGTGGCACACACTGCAGGGTCACGGTGAGGATGACGCCCAGACAGCCCAGATGTACCCGTGCAGCCTGGAACACATCTGCATTGCTTGACTCGGAACATTCCAGAACGACACCATCAGCCGTCATCATGGTCAGGGCCACCACCTAGCCGTGGGAGAGGGGTCACACTTAATAACCTACTTTCTGTAGAATCACCCTACTTTCTGGCTTGTCCTTATAACAGAGGCCAGGTAGCACCTATTCCCAGGGGCCACCATGGCCAGTCACACAACTCCCTAGCCAGGTCTATTGTCACTACCTGAGAGGGAACTGGGAACTGGGGTAGAAATGGGGGAGAGGAAAGCTGCCTCTGGCATCGGAGCTCAGCTCTCAGTAGAGTGGAGCCCATCATCCTGTGGGGGACCCTGATGGCTTGGCTTGTCCTCCGTCATTCTGTGGCCTCACAGTCAAGAAGCAGCTAGCCTCTACTGCCGGAAAATGCTCTGGGGACACAGACCCCCAGGATCGGTGCTTGACTAGGCCAAGTGAGCACATATGTGCCCTGAGATGGGACAGTGGATCAGGATCCCTACAGTCTTGCCCAGCCACATGGAATCTTTGTCTTCAATAGAGGATTTTTCCCTCAGAGGAAATGCATTCTCCTGCTTAGCTTCACCTGACCAGAAAGTTTGGGTTTCTGTGAGCACTGAGGCATTTGGTTGCAAACTGATGGAGGTCCCCAAGGTCCCCACTTCCAGAAGGGCCCTCTTTCTCTCATGGCTGTTGAGGTCCTTCTCTATACTCCACTACCTGCTAATTTGGATGGAAATTGCTTCTGACACGTGCAGTTGGTGGTTGGTTGCTCAGGGAGAGGACAGCTACAGCTGAACTAATTCTGATTAACAGTGACCAGAGAGCAGAGAGAAGGAACTGACAGAAAAGGGACACTGTGGCCAGCTACGGTGAGAGGGGGCGTCTGGTATTTGATACAGAAGCTGGACATTGTTGAAGATTCAGAGCCTTGAGAACAGCGTGGCTGTGAGATCTAAAGGCCTGTGAAGGGTGGGGCTCTTCATTAACTGCTTCTGTGACCTTGACAGATGATAGTCCTCACTGCCTACGAAGGTAGGAGGATCAAGCGCAAAGCCTGCGATTAACCCCCTGCTGTAAGCTGAGGAGAGGTGAGAGCTGTCCACCCCTTCACTTTGCTTCTGTGGTTTTGCTTGAATCTGAATGTCCCCCAAAGGTGCATGTGTTAAAGTCTTGGTTGACAGCTGATGGATCTGGGGGAAGCCATTAACTCATGACAGACCTAACCTTATCAGTGATCCACGGGTAGACTATTAATTTGATGGAGGTTGTGAAAATCAAGAGTGGGGTCTAACTGGAAGAAATACACCCCTGAAGATGTGCTGGAAGGATCTCTCCTGTCCGTGGCCCCTTCTTTTGCTGTCTGTTTGCTGGCTGCTGTGTGGTAAGCTCAAGTTTCCTGGGTCATACCCTTCCTCCAAAACCATGAGCAAAAAATACACTTTTCTTTCTTGAAGATGATTTCCCTCAGACATTTTGTTATAGTGCCAAAAAATGACCAATATGGTTGTCATCGGTGCGACTAACACAGAACAAGCCCTCCCCTTTGATTCCAGGCCTGCCCAGTGGGACTTCCAAAGAAAGGCAACCAATAAATCCCATGTGCATTTTTTACTAGTGACCACTTTAATTTCACACCCTGATGACCAGTGTGTAGCAAGGGACACGACCGTCTTGACATCAGTCCTAGACAGTGAAAAGAACTGGGCTCATATCTTGGGAGTCCTGACTGGATCCCCCGTTACCACTGGCCCCTTGGGCAGTAAGCCCAGCTTTGAGACGGCAATGGCTGCTAGGATCCTGCCCTCACTCCTGCACATGCGCAGCTCGGGGTCTTGCATCTTACATCACCAGGGGCGCTGGCGACTACAGTACGTGCCTTAAAAAATCAGATGCAGACCCCGTGTTCTCTCTGCTCTCTGCTCTGCTCCCACCATCTTTCTCTCTCCAGGCCTGGCTCTCCTCTCTCCTACCCCCTCCTTCCTCCCAATAAAGCTCTCCCTAACTCTGGTAGTCGTGGCCGCGGCTCGTGAGTTTTCCGCCGGCAACCAGCGCCGATGATCATCCTTTCAATGGCCATGGAAGACTCCAAGTTGACAGTGTGGAAAGTTGAAGGCGTTCGGCTTCAGAAAGGCTGTTCCTGATGCAGGTGCCTCTGAACTGCCATTTGGCCAGACGCTATTTAATGAGTGCTAATTCATGACCTTAAAGTCTATATCTTCTCCCTGTGGATTGGGCTATCTTCATTTTAGCTGAGGATTTTGATTGACAGCCATGTACCCAGAAGCTAGGGAGTCTACCAGTGTGCACATAACCAGGGAGTAATATGGATTAAAACTTTTTTTTTTTTTTGATGAAGACAGACAGACTCTACCACAGGTTACCCCCATGCCTTCCCCAGGTCCTACCTCCGCTGCTACCGTGCCTGGCTCCTGGTTATAACTTCCAGTGGAGTTGGTTCCCCCTTGTTCTGTGCTGCTTATGAGGATATGTGTGTGGGGATGAGTGTCCCTTAGGATGGCTAAAACACCAATAAGCCTGGGACTCCTTCAGGCCTGGTAAGGTTTTGGGGGAGGAAGTTGGTGTTTCTGGGCACACTGTCAAGTGCCTGACGTCCGTGTGGAGCTAGACCTACCCTGCCATGGATCTAGAGGACTCACTTGGGTGCCATGGACACGAGAGACTCACCTGGGTGGGCAGGATGCCATGCTTGATCCCTGTGTTGTGTGTTCCGGACCCAATGACGCCAGCAACTGTCACGTCGGACACCGCCCCTAGACTGGGCTCAGCAGGAAGAGCCAGAGGGACAGAGATCAGTCGGACTTCTCAGGGCAATGGGAGCCCCAGATGCAGTAGATGCTACTTAGGACAGAAGACGCCTTTCTGCTTGAGAACCCCCCTTCACCTTCCATGGTCTAGCTTGTGATCAGCCCATCTCTCTGGGCCTCAGTTCCCTGATCTCCATGTCCAGCAGATGAGCTGGTTGGGGCATGGGCCGGTTTGCAGGAAGGAATACGTGTTTGGTCTTTGAGGTCTCTGCAGCCCAACAGGCCCCTGTCCTCTAACTACCAAAGGCGTCTTCTCTAAGCGGAGCCACATGTTCTGGCTGAGACTCCTCTGCCCCCAACCCACCCAGGCTCAGGTACTGCCCTGGTTCTAAACACACAGATAGGCCAGCAGGTCTATGTGGGTGCGCCTCCCTGAGCTGGAAGGGAAGGAGCGGGAGAGAGGGCCCAGTCACCTGTCCTACTTGGAAACCCACACAGCTTCCTTGGGGCTCTGGGAGAAAGTTAAGCTCCTGAGACGGGGGTCCAGGCCCAGAATGAGTAATGGGGAACTAGGCTCCCTTTTGGCACCCTCCACGTGTCGCTGACATTGAACCCACTGCCGGCACAGTACTGGTTAGTTTCTGCATCTAGTACCTGCCCCTTGCTGGAGCTCCTTGAAGGTGGGGTCTGGGTTTCATTTGTCCTTGCTTCTAGAGCCTAAACATGGTCTATACATGGCGGTCACCCTATGAATAGCCTAGCCATCCTGACCTTTGGAGAAGGGTGGGGACAATGGTTTCCACACTGTAGAATTGTGGGGCCTATGCTAGCGAGGCTGAGGTGAGCTGACCGCAACACTTGAAGGTCAGCCACAGATTTCCACAGGGTCAATTAATTCCACCTGCAGTGAGATTTCTACACCACTGTTCAAACAAACCAGTGTTCAGGCAGTGCTTTCTCTCAGGTGAAAGCCAGTCACAGGGTCACCTTGATAGCACCCCTCAACTGTCTCATCCTGGCTCAAAACTCTGCTAAGCTTGGACCCGTTTCCTTCCTTAACCTAGGGGGCATGACGAGTAAGGCACCCTGAGTGGGCGAGTGAGGAAGGGGTACACTCCAAGCAGTGTGAGCACCCCACGGCCAGATCCGTGAGTATGGGGACCAGAGCAAGGAGGGGAGAGGCAGCCCCAGGCCAGCTGGGGCTGGAGGAGGGACTCACTTCGACATGGCCAGGCCGTGCTTGTCCAGCTGTGGGTGCAGGTCTGCCAGGAGGATGCCAGCTTCCACTGTTACCTGCTTCTTCTCCTTGTCCACCTGCAAGAGCCAGCACAGGCTGGGAGGAGCCAGGCCACACTCAGGCCCTTGGTCCCCAGTCAGGCCCCTCTGGAATGTGAGGATGGCTAACCTAGCCTGTGGTCAGCTTAAGGCACTTTTCAATCTAAATGGGGGTACTGAGCCCAAGAGTGCTGGGACATTGGGGACAATTTGTTTTTGAAACAGTCTTACTATGTAGCCCAGGCTGGCCCCAAATGGGCAATCCTCTTGCGTCCACCTTCCAAGGGGAGGGATTACAGATGCATGCCTCAGTTCCTTGGTGCTGGTCTCACAATTTAGGATTGTAAATGGAACCCCGGGCCTTTGCACATGCTGGCTGGGCAAACACTCTGCTGAGCCTCCCTTCTAGCTCTTTGGGGATGTTCCATGCAACTGCTCACAGGCAAAGGGAATGAGAACCAGGGAAGCGAAGAGCTTTGCCCAGGGACACTCGGGTAGGATGGGGACCGCCACACCTATGCTCCTCACCTTGTCCACACTGGGAAAGTGGGACAGGGTCTGTTGCCGCAGGGCCTGGCCGTACTATTTGGAGGACAAAAGTCTCTGCCTGCTCTCACCCCGAGGGACCCGTGCAATGGCTAAAAACCGGGAAGGGAGAAAAATGGCTAAGCACAGTTAGTCAGGGTACTGTATCCTGAGATCTGACTGCAGCCAGGGGCTGTACCAAGACCCAAGGTCATGTAAACAGAAAAGTCAGTGGCAGAGCTGGGGCGAGAATCCACATCCCTCCCCAAATACCAAGTACTTGCTCCTCCAGCTACCCAAGGAACAGAGCTTGGAAGATCAATTGCTGAAGCCAAGTCCTCACTACTTAGCAACCAGACTGATTGCCATGACTGATGTTCGCTGAGAGATAGGGCCTGTTGGTGTGAGCAAATACCGGCACAGTAGAGAAACCTAGGTCATGGCTAGCTGGCTCTGGGGAGGGGAGAGCCTTCTCTGGACTTCAGTTCAGGGGAGCCAGCCCTGGCAGGTGAGGACTGCAGTCTTATGCACATGTTTCTCGGATCCCAAGTTCCCTGTAGGCAAGTGGAGGCTGGCTGAACTGCACAGACAGTATCTCAGTAGGAAGCTAGTGGCAGTTCTGAGTCTGGGTCCAGCTTTGCTGTTGTCTGCTGTGTGACCATGGGCAAGTCACTGCCTGTCTCTGATCTTCATTTCTCTATGTGTAAGCCTAGTCTAACGTCAGTTTGGGTGCCATTGGACCAGCCACTGTGAGTCCACTCTTGGGAATGTATTTCTCTGTACCTCTTTGAATGCGTTTGAATGGAATCTTTAGCAAAAGATATATATCATCTCTGTGATCACAAAGGGCCAGGCAGACTTGACAAGTGGCCTGAGCAAGCCCAGGGAGGGCTCAAGTGACAGTTGCTTGGGGAAGCCCAGGGATCAGGGTGTCACTCTGAGGACCCAGGGCAGGAAGAGGCTAAGGACTGAGGCAAAGACTGGGAGATTTCATGCATAGAGTCTGGGACATAGGCTGAAGCTACTCAGCTTAGGAATAAGCTGGAAGGGGGCGGGGGGGGGGGGGGACCAAGGGCCCCAGTACCTGGAGGACCCGGTTCATCTTGCCCATGTGGATCATGAAGCCATCCGTGCAGGCGATGTCTGAAGGCGAGTGGCCGCCACCTACCACCTTCACTCTCTTGTTTTGCTGCCGAGCCAGGGTCAGCACCTGCCGAGACAGTGTCAGTCAGGATCTGCTCAGAGAGGAAGCTGGGGAGCCCTTCAGGGCTGGGTGTAGCCTGCAGGGTGTGGGGAGAAGTTGGAGGGGGTGTCTTTGGTATTCGTGGCCCTGCCTGGCTCCAGAAAGCCAGAGAGACGGGCTTCCAGAGAAGCCGGGACAGAGAACCACAGTCCTTCTAGTCTGTGGCTCTTGTTCCCGCTACCGCAGCTCCAGCCCTTTCCATTTTGGTTCTAGACAAGGTCTTGCTATGCAGCTCACCTGTCCTCCAGTTTGTGGTCTTCCTGTCTCCCTGACGGTGGAATTGCAGAGCCACCATAGGGGCCAATTTGAGGGGCCCTCCCTTTTGGGACCTATATAACCCAGGCTGGCCTCAAACTCACTGTGTAGCCAAAGCTGGCCTTGAACTCCTGATCTTCCTGCCTCGTCAGTGCTGGGATGACAGCGTCTATGGCCAGGCCAGTACGTGCAGTGCCAGGGATGGAACCCAGGGCTTCGTGAACGTGAGGTAAGCATTCTACCAGCTGAGCTAGATCTTCAACCCCAGCTTAAAACTTTTAAAAGACAAATCCAACTGCATTCCTCAACAATAAAAAACCTTCCAAAGGTATCCTAGTGACAGGATAGGACCCAAGTACCTCAACGTGGCTTCAAGGACCCTTAATCTACCCCACGCTTCAGCAAAGGCCCATAGAGAATGGTGACCGTGGCTGACTGTGACACATCCCAGGGCTGGCAAAGGTAGAGAGTGTCTGGAGATACTTGGCTAAATAAACATGTGGATCCACAACGCTACCTCAGTGAATCCACTTACATCCTCATCATGCTTCTGCTCAAACACACTCATCCAGGAGCCCCAGGACCACGTTTCATAAATCCTATCGCATCGCCTGAGAAATGCTGGCTCCTCCCAGGGTACATTTTAGGCTGAGGCCGAGCAAGACATTATGTCACACCACAATCCTGGAGCTGCTTGGTCACACCCCCATTTTCATTTTCTCCGGGTTTTGCTGGTCCTCCAAGGAAACACTACCCCTTACCCTGTCACTACCACAAGGTCAGGTGGGCTAGCACATCTCAGAAGCCATCTTCTCAGGTAGCTATGCCGGAAGCTCACTCCTGGCTCCCTCCCTCAGCCCCTAATTGCCCATGCTCCATCAAAGCCACTTCTCTGCTTTCCAGCCTGTTTTCATGTCTCTTGGGGTACAGGCTTCAGTCCCTACACTAGTGCCCTTCCCCAGCAACCCTGATTCTTCTCAGAAGGTCATCTCATATGTAAGTGTAAATGTGTGTCTGTGCATGTGTGTTTGTGTGTGCAGAAGCACTCATGCACATATATGTACATGGGCTTGCATGTAAATATGTATATATATATATGTATATATATATGTATGCACAAGCCTACTCAAAAAGTACACAGGTCTAAGTGCATATATGTGTATAAATGCACATTTGCACAAGTATCTGTGCACACAGACCTATTCGTATGCCTGTGCATAGATGTATGTTCATGTGTGGGTGTATCTGCACAGCTGCATGCACATAGGAGGCCTATGTGTGCATATGCACATGGATGTGTACATGCCTGTGCACAGGAATAGGTCCACATGCATATATTTTCATGCAAATGATGTACATAAGCATGCATGAACATGTGTACATATATGTGTGCACGTACGTACACAGGTATGTGCATGGAGTTCATTGCAGAAGTCTGAGAGGGGAGTGCAGACATGGCCACCCTTGGTACACTACTGTGCAGGCTTGGGGTGGACATGCCAAATTACAACAGGCTGCTGGGCAGACCTGGAGCTGGGGAAGGCAGGAAGAGGAGCTTTGTGTTTACCCAACCAGGTCAGCAGTTAGGGACCGAGGCGGCTCATTAGGCCAGGAAGCCCCACGCCAGCCTCTGCTGCAGGGCCAGGGCCACGGATGCAGGCTGTGCAGCCCGTGTGGTGTGGATGGACCCACCTCTCTGACCTCCTCCACTGATGTGGGCTGGTAGTACATCTCTGGACAGCAGCCATAGGTCTTGGCCCAGTTTTGGAACTGGACCCCTTTGTATCCATGGACCTGTACCAGGAAGAAAGCCAGGTCTCAGCAGGCCAGCAGCCACTATCCTAATTACATGCAATCACATCACCAGCCCCACAACCTGCCACAAAGCGGGGGAGTGGGTGGTGGTGGACAGGACACACGGACGAGCTCCCTTTGGCCTCCATGGTTCTTTTTTTTTTTTCCTTTCAGAGCGGAGGACCGAACACAGGGCCTTGAGCTTGCTAGGCAAGTGCTCTACCACTGAGCTAAATCCCCAACTCTGCCTCCACGGTTCTTAGGTCAGGGCCACTTAGGAAGATCAAACGGGTAGCAGCTGCTCTGAAGGTAGCAGCCCACGCAGGGCTTCCTGGTGTTGTCATCTTGTGATCCCTCCCGATGAGACAGATGGGAATTCTGCCCATTCTGAGGCCAAGTGGATGGATGGGGTCAAACAAGGATGGAGCCTGATGAACCAGGTCAATCCCTGCTCCAGGCACATTGATGTCAGCCCAGCAGATAAGAGTACTGCAGCCCAACAGGGCTGTGGGCACAGAGCTGGAAGAGGTGGCCCTGGAGGCAAGGGCTGGGGTCTGGCTTCTCTAGCAGGGTGTGTCTCAGGGGCTAAATGGCACTGTCATCTTCTTGGCCTCAAGCCTGGAAATCAAAATCCTGTTTGTTTCACACCACTGCATAACCAGACACTGCTGGGTCTTCTATGTGTCATATCTTATTAGATCTTACAATAATGTCACCAAATAGAGGATATTAGTCCTCTTTCAGCTGCCAAAAATTGAGGCTCAGAGAGGTAGAGGGTCTTCCCCAAGCTTGCAGAGACCTAGCGAAGGTGTTAAAAGAGTCCAGCCCAGGCCTTCCTCTCTCATAACTCTTCTAACGCCAACAATTCCCCAAGTGCACTTGGAAAGTCCCATGGCCCGTCCCATGGCTCCAGCCTTGGTCTGGCTTTACCCTCCCACACCTGGCTCACAGGTGCTGTCTGGACACAGCTGGCTTACAGGTGCACCCTCCCACACCTGGCTCACAGGTGCTGTCTGGACACAGCTGGCTCACAGGTGCACCCTCCCACACCCGGCTCACAGGTGCCGCCTGACCACAGCTGGTCAGATCTACTGGCTGCAACACGGGCCCCTACCATTCCTACCATGATTCCAGTGGTCGGGGTGTCAGATGACTTGACTTGAAGCGTTCCCAAAGAAAGTCCGACAAAGCCCTAGGCAGTAGGTACAGCAGTCAGGCAACCTCAACTCTGGGTTGCCTCAGGCAGAATGGGACTGGATGTTTAGCCACTCCTACCAAGGCGTTGGGGCATGGGCAGGTAAACAGTGCAGAAGAGGCTCCTCCCCCTGCAAGATCGAGGCAATCCCTGTAAATAGCAGCTGGGCCCTGCCCCCTGCCTGGATGCTCCCAGGAAGGCTGAAAGATGGACCTTCAACAGCAGCTGCTGTGCTCCTGAAAACCCACTGCCCGAGCTCTGAACCCAATCTTGAGGGTTCGGAGCCGAAGGACACCAGCCACGCTCCCAGGCTCACGACAAAGCTGGCTGCCTCATGGGCCTTTCAGAGCCAGGTACCTATGCAGCCCTGAGTCCCCCAAAATAGCTTCCCACTTCCACCCTGGCCTATGGTGGTTGTGGGAGGGAGCTGCTGAGTGACAGTCTAGTACCATTCAGAATCAGTAACCTGGTATCCTACTGAAGCAGACATTTAAAGCTGTTTGGTTAAAAAAATCACTGACTCGCCGGGCGGTGGTGGCACACGCCTTTAATCCCAGCACTTGGGAGGCAGAGGCAGGCTGATCTCAGTGAGTTCAAGGCCAGCCTGGTCTACAAAATGAGTTCCAGAATAGCCAGGACTGTTACACAGAGAAATCCTGTCTCAAACCCTCCCTACATCCCCCCCACAAAAAAAAAAAATCAGACTCCTCACTTGGGCCCTCAAGGTAACTAAAAGCAGGATAGGAGCCTGATACATCTGCCTCCATTTTGTGTCTGTCCTTCTGTCCTTTACTGAAGGCATGGAGACAAGTCACGTCCTTCGAGCCACCTTAGATTCTTTTTGTTTGTTTTTGTTTTGTGTTTGTTTGTTTGTTTGTTTTGAGACAGGGTTTGTCTGTGTAGCGTGGCTATCTTGGAACTCACTCTGTAGACCAGGCTGGCCTTGAAGATCCACTTGCCTTCAGTGCTGGGATTAAAGGTGTGAGCCACCATGCCCAGCTACCTTAGATTCTAAGCACAGCAACACCTCACAGTATAGACCACCCTCCCAATTAGGGCAATTATCCATGAAGGTGAGGCTGTGTTCTGGAGGCCAAGGACTCATCTCTTGAGAACTAAATGCTCTCGTGTGGAGGGTAAAAAGGCCTTGGGCACACAGATAAGCACTGGAGAAGCCAGGAAAGTTGAACCCACAGCTCACCTCTTCAGTTTCGGAATGAGGTGCTTAGCTGCTCTTCCTGGAATGCTAGGGATGGTGTGGTTTTATAACCTGGTGATCCCTTGCTGTCTGAAGAGACAGACTCTGCTGGGTCTCCCAGAATGTATGTTTTTACTTAGCCAAGACCTTTTTCCTTAAATCTTGAGCATTGCTTTTAGACCATAAAACCCACTCTTATGGGTGATGTCACTTGTGCTACATACAACAGCCTCAGTGACTTCTATGTTATGGCCAGACCAATCCTGACACCTGAAAAGTTTCTGCACCCACATAAGACTCTCTGCCGACACAGCAATCCAAATCAAACCGAATTAAGAAAAAGCCCAGGTTTAATGGGTAAAATGCTCCCGGGTGATTTTCCAGCCCCTAGAGGGGAGTGGGGGGAAAAGACACCAAACAACCACGTGTCTGTTTTCTGAGGTGCAGTTTAAATGCCCTATGGGAGTGGTCTTGAGCATCTCTGGGGGAGGAGCGGTGTTTGGTGGGTCAGGGTTTGGGGAGAGAGAGGAGCAGGAGGAAAGTTGAGGTGGAGCTTCCACCAGAACATTCCAGACTCTGGGTATGTGGGTGCCAGGGGCTGAGGTGGAGTTTCCACTGGAACAACACCCATATGTCATGTTTATGTCTGTCATGCTCTGTAGACCCTTATCCTGAGCACTGATCCTAAGTCCACAAGAAACCATCACAGAGATGAAACCACATGTACTTGGCAAAGAGTCAATGCAAACATGTCCTCAATTGTTGTGTACTTGGGACTGAATTAATTGTTACCTGAATGCTCTTTTTCCAAAATTGTACTGCGCTAAAGGCCAGAGTAAAATGATTTGGGCCAGACTCGAGAAGTCCTGGGCCAGTGCTGGTTACAATCAAATCAGGCTGAGTCTTACCTCACCCTAATTGTTTCTTCCCTGCTTTCGGTAAAGCCCACATGGGAATCAGCTGGCACCCCAACTTGGGACACTCGACCCTGGGAGAAGGCAAGGGAAGTTTTCTTTAAATAGAAATTAGGAGGTTTAGGAAACTCGGTCCCCTCACCCAATGAGAGAGTGGAAACTAACATGGGTTCTTCTCGGTCCCTTGAGACAAAGCCTTTTGTGCAATTATTGAGATTAAGATTCAAAGGAGCAAATTATTCAGAGCTACAGCTCTGCAATGTTATAAGGATAGGACAAAGAGGAGATAAAAATACCTTTTAATTATTTTACAAGCGGGAGTACAGTAATGTATTGCTTGGAATCTCTCAGGAGAAAAAGGAGAGAGAAAAATTTCTGCCACACATCTTGGCAGGTCTTAACAGGGTGAGCCAAATGGATTCCAGTGACCCAGGCTTCCCAGTGGTCACAGAGCCATATTGGGGCTCCTGCCCTCCTGAGTGAACTGGCTGGAACTCAAAGCCCTCCAACACCTTTTTTCTTTTTCTTTTTTTTCCTTTTGCCTCCAAGGTCTGGTGGAGGAGAGTGAGTTCCAAGGAATGACCTGTGGGACTCCACCACCAAACATGAGCTAGCTTGGTTGCCTCAGAACTTTGTTTGCTTGATTTTTGTTTAAATGTTTGTTTTTCCCTCATGGCAGGAATAACTCAATATGGTCCATTATTGGAAAAAAATGAAAGCAAGGTTAACTTCTCGTTCAAAAAGAACTGCAGCCAGGGCATAAAGCACTAAGTCAATGCTGTTTAAATTGCAAGAGGTATTAGTCAGTCGGGCGGTGGTGGCATACACCTTTAATCCCAGCACTCGGGAGGCAGAGCCAGGCAGATCTCTGTGAGTTTGAGGCCAGCCTGGTCTACAGAGCGAGATCCAGGACAGGCACCAAAACTACACAGAGAAACCCTGTCTCCGAGAGAGAGAGAGAAAAAAAGAGGTATTAGTCATTCATTATACAGAGGATGGTCTCTTCCCCTGCTCATCTAATCAATGCTTAAATAAATGCTTAGCTTTCATGTTAAGAGCAAAATTTAAAAGTTTAGGTCACCCTTGGATATGCTCTTACCTGTTTATCACTACTCAGAAGTTTGCTCTGCTCTTGAAGCTACTTTCTGGAAACTCTCAGTTAAATTCTACAACAAATGCAACATCTAAAGTAGAGCGGGTTATTAATTTATTAAGTAATGCAGTTGCTAAAGAAATAATTCATAGAAATAATCCCTTACTGGTCAAGAGCATTATTTGTTTCATTGATATTAATTGGCAGGTTGCATTATCATGTTACTTGGGATCCAAAATATTCCCTGTATTAGTCAGGGTTCTCTAGAGTAACAGGACTTACAGAATGGATCTCTCTCTCTCTCTCTCTATACATATACATATACATATATGGAATTTATTGGAATGACTTACAGGCTGCAGTCAACTAATCCGACAATGGTTGGCTGTGAATGGAAAGTCTGAGCAGTCGCTCGGTCCCACGAGGCTGGCTGTCCCCGCTGGTCTTCTGTATGTGCTGGAGTCCCGGAGAAGTCAAGGCAATGGCAGTGAAGGAATGGATGGATGTGCTGGCAAGGCTGTGGCAAGCGCGAAGAATGAACCCTTCTTTCTTCCGTTGCCCTTAGATAGGCATCCAGCAGAAGGTGTGGCCCAGATTAAAGATGTGCCTTCCAACTTCAAGGTCTGGATTAAAGGCGTGTGTCTCCCATGGCAAGATCTGGAGCAGAGGTGTGTGTCTTACAGCCTCTAGATTGGGATCAAAGGCAGGTTGTCTTTTCACCTCAAGATCCAGATCACAGGTAGGATCTCTATTTCTGGATTGTAACTCCTTCTAGATACAGTTATGTTGACAACCAAGAATAGCCATCACATCCCCTCTTAAGATTTTTAAAGATACCCCATGGATATTGCCTAAAGTTACATCTGAAAATTCTGTAGATTATTGTTTTTCAATCTAAAAAAGATTGCTTTTAATGCTTTTGTAGATGACCCTTTAAAAGACAAGGAACATATACTCCATACACAAATCCCACATGTTCCACAAAGATTGTACCCACCCCAGGTGATACAACTCCAAAGTCTAAGCCTGCTACAGTCAATCAGCACTTTTTTTTTTGGGGGGGGGTGCCTGTCCTAGATCTTGCTCTGTAGACCAGGCTGGCCTTGAACTCACAGAGATCCGCCTGTCTCTGCCTCCCGAGTGCTGGGATTAAAGGCGTGTGCCACTGCCGCGTGGCTCAATCAGCTTTTATTAGCTGTTTCTCAGCCATTGAACAATTTCACTGACTCTGCTGTTTATTAAATTTGGATGGGCTGGGCGGTGGTGGGGCACGCCTTTAATCCCAGCACTCAGGAGGCAGAGCCAGGCGGATCTCTGTAAGTTCGAGGCCAGCCTGGGCTACCAAGTGAGTTCCAGGAAAGGCGCAAAGCTACACAGAGAAACCCTGTCTCGAAAAACCAAAAAAAAAAAAAAAAATTTGGATGGCAGTTTATTGGACAGACTAAGGAAGAATCAGAGTTTTCCAGTCCTGATGGATAGCTTTGGAGCCCCGGTTTGCACACCCTCACCCCAAATGGCTCTCCTGAAGGAAGATGGAGGCTCAGCATTAACTGATCTCATAGCAAAATCAGCACTTGAAGGATAGAGACACAGAATGGAAACAGACCTAACTTGAGAGAAAAAGGAATGCTGCAGAAGGGTTGTGAATGTAGAAAGGGTATAGTGGAAGGAAACGTTTGGAATGGGGTACTTAAGGATGGAGTCTAGTTAATGGAAAGCTGGAACA